GCTGGTGTGGGATGAAAATCCTCCACCTCAGACGTTCAGAGATGTAACTATCTGCGTTACTGTGGTCACTCTCCATGTAGCATCAAATATGCTAATGCTAGCTGCCTGTCACGTTCTCTCGTCCTGGCCACACCTACGCTCTCTAACCCCGCCTCCCCTACCCACTTTGATGCATTTTTCAAATTTCGCCTTGGGGYGGAGTTATCTTTTCACAGGTGGGGTAAGATACACTTTAATGTTACCTCTGGTCTCAGCTAGTTTGATGGCTTCCTTGCTGTCGCAGAGGCTTCCTCCTGTGATCATAAACTGACACAAAGCAACAAAACATGACTTAAAATTGAATAAAAGCAGAATAATTTCTTGAATTTGCTGTTCGAAGATTCTGCACAATATCACAAACCAGGCTAGCAGCTATTCAAAACAAGAAAACTCAGAAACTAGCAGTTTGAGCAAAAGTGTGCTTTTTTAATTGAATCACTTTTATATAATAAAGTTTGTCAAATAATTTTGTCAATGATCACCTGCGACACTTCTACTGATTTAATCTAATAAAAAAGCGAATGAATAAAGAAAAAAATCTGATATAGTAAAAGAATGGTGCAAACCTGATGCACTGTAAAGCTGTTACAAAACCCTCTGTATTACAGCAGGCATTTCCACAAGAGTGTAATATTCTGTGAGCCCAACAAACAATGCATGAAAAGAAAAATAATTAACATTTTAYGCTGTAATGACGAACACTGTGTCATAAAACCGTAAAGTCTCCGTGCACACTAAAACCTGCTAGAACTTAAATCAAGGCGCTGAACTGTACCTTTTCAACTCCAATTTTCAGAGCTCGGTCGATGATCTGATTAAAGTCATCTGTGAGGAGAAACACAACTCAGACCAGCCTAATCTTAACAACACACACATTAAAACAACACTGCCAAGCACAGCTCACCATCATGTTTCTGCTTCCCCCTATAGAGTCCTCTGAACATGGGATCTGTCAGGTTTACACCAATATCTGGGGATGAAAACAAGCTGGGGTTTAGTGCAACACAGCAGTAAACACATTATTAAATAAAACTATTTTAGGCAGTAAGAGTTTGCATTTGATRAAACACATTTATAGAAGAGCTGGAATTATTCAGTGATGACTTCATGTTTGTCAGAAGTACAACAAAATAATGTCCTGTCAGTTTGCACATTMATTAATGACTAAGTTAGATGTGGATTATGGCTGTAAACATTTAAAATCACAGTCAGACATGWTGCTTTCTGGATTCGTTGTGCTCAATTCTAGTAAGCCAATAATAAAAGTATGCATTCACCATCTATTTGAGTAACAGAAATGCTGTAGTTTTAAATATGATGTGTTTACTAAATGATTCAGCTAGCACAGCTACGATGTTAACTTCTCTTAACTAAAAACGAACTGCCTTAAGTTCAAATTTTAGAGCACGCAATACGAAGAATCAACAATATACATTTTGCTCTAGATGTATGTTTAATTTAGTCATAAAATACAAGCGTCTCACCAATGAATTTGTGCTGTGCCATGGTTGTAACACTTCTGAAAAGAACCAAACATGCAGCTTTCATGAAACCCGTCATGTCGCTTTACCGTAATGACTGCAGTACAAGGAAATTACATTCCTTAAACAAATTTTTGGCAAGCCTTGATGTTTTAAACTCACATTAAAGTTAATTTAGATCGACATAAACTACATTTATTTGTTGTATGTTCATTTTTCTAGCGATTAAAGTTGAGAAAAGTAGATTAGAAAATATTTATGCGCTTTTAGCTTAATGATTACGGTGTTCACGTTGACTGTAAAGTCCCACAATCCACCGTGCGTCCCGTAAGCGAAGGTGACAGGGGCTGGTAAACATGGCCTCTGCTTATCTTACCCACCAGCAGAAAGTGTTGAGGCTGTACAAGAAATCACTTAGACATCTTTTATCATGGGTCGTTCATAGGTAAGAAGAGCACCTTTGTTCAAGACTCGTTCAGAACAATGAGGAGGAAATGCTGAGCGAAGTTTAGCTGCTGCTAAGCTAACTGCGAAGCTAAAAGTGCTAGYCGCTGTTAGCAGGTCGCTCAATCTTGATGTCACAGAACACAACAATTGTTTTTGATTAAATGAACAAGAAGCTACCTAAATATAAAGTATAATCGATATTTTTGCATGGTGAAAGATTATGCATAACAAAAATCTATTGGTACGTTTAAATTATAACTATTCTGAGGAAAACAGGCCGCCGTCTAATGTTTTGCAAGCTAAACTTTGTCAAATGTCGCTTGTTTTTATTTTAAGTCGTATAAAATATACGTCATTTTGTTTATAATGTGCCTTATATAACCTGCAATAAGAATGAGAATGTATTTGTAAATTGTCCAACAAGCTAGTCTCATTTGAAACATTTCCACTTTAACAAAATGTCGTGCGCCTTTAGTTTTGCTCAAGAATTCTGCCAAGATCATGCAAACATGATTTTATAATAATAACAATAATAATAATAATAAGATACTGTGTCTATTGCATGTCATTGTTATATTTTTGCATGTTTTTAATAAAGATTACTTAAAGT